CAAAGTTGATTGACTGAGTTTTGAATGACGCGCGTGAAATATTTTAATTTTGTGCGCCGCTATAAGTTAGGGAATGTTAGTGCCTGCCCTCTACTGACGCTTACGTCAGCCAATAGGAAAGGCTAGAGGAGAATTGGATGTGATATGCTATCATTCCGGAAATCGTAGCATCAAAATTGTTTTGATACGTGTGAATTTCGATAGTGCGTAGCATTTATTGTCATTCTATTACCTTCTACAGACTACTATCAGATTCGTTCAACTAATATATTATTATTTAATACATTTTGAAGCAGTAACATAATGATATTCAATAACTTTACGAACTTTGTTCAGCTCATAGGTTAACTACGTAGTTGTTAGATTTATCAGCATCACATCAAAAGTTTTTGAGGTAGAATCTGAATGCAAATCACTTTGAAAAAACATCTCGATGGTTACTGTGTGAATTTGGTATGTTAGTAACGTTTGATTTATTATTTTATTCACATTATTATCTTATATTATTTAATTGATATTATTATCTTATATTTGATCACTGACTTTACCTGAAGGTTGACATCGAGAAACAACAAGGGATGTCAAAGGGACCACCAGTGACTATTAAAGATGCTAATAATTTAGCATATAAATAGAACATATATGGTAATTATAATTTATGTTTTAAGTTTTCTTTATGCAATTAAATATATATACAATTAATAAAAATGTTTCAAATTTTCAATGTAAAAAGTGTATTTTAATGATGCTACCTTTAACAAATCAATTTCAAAATTTCAAAAATATAAAAAAATATTTTGAATAATACAATAATTGTATAGTAACATAATATGTGTATGTATATATAATATATGGCTATTACATATAATACCTGATGTAATTTTTCATACTTATCTTTAATTAATCAATAAGTAAAAATAAACATTTTATCAGTCTTAAATAATATGAAAATTAATATAAATAATTAACATAAATAATTAATAATAATACATAGATTTTGTACTTTCTACAACTTTATATATAAAATATTGCATATCATTTTATAAATTGTTTTATAAATTTTTATGTAATATTAGTTTAGTTATGTTTTACTTTTAGATAACATTGTTCAATGTAACCATGTTCAATTTTTGTGTAACATTAGAAAATAAGGCATGTTCCTTTAAATTATAAGCTTCTTTAGAATTATAATGGTTAGAATTACACAAATATAAGATCCAAACTTTGTTATTTTGATAGAGTTGAATAAATTCTATAAATTCTTTTTTATATCACTACACAATATAAATTATTATTTACTCTACCTCTAATTATTAAATTAATAATGTTATTAGTTATAGTACAATAATGTTATTAGTTATAGTACAATATAAATAATAAATATGATCACTGTGGAACGTTATACAACTCTTTTTAATATACATAAATACTACCATATTTTTTGTGATACTTCTAACATATTAAAGACACATGTAGACAAAAATTAATATCCCATTTAATATTCCAATTAAATAATTTAATTGTACTCCCGATACTTTTGAAAATCTGAAAAAAAAATAAAACATGTTTAACAGAAGAAAAAGCAATAAAGACATTTATATATAAAAAAATATCCAAACTTCATAATATAAGATTATTAAATATTCTTTAATTTATAATAAATTTTTTTAAACAACTTACCTGTGTTTAGAGGGACTAAAAGGGGAAGGTGGATTGATTCCAGGAATACTGCTATCTTTGTAAATTATAAACCAAGTAAAACCCATCATAATAAGACCACATACTGCTGCTTTTATGAGCCATCCATATGTTTTAAAAACTGATGTCATTACATTTACAACATCATCGTATTGACTACCATTAACAAATTTCTCACTTATAGCTGCTAATTGTTTTACTTTGAACTCTGATACATCAGGTATATGTGATAGATCAAATATATTAGACATATTTGAAAATATAGATGCTGAGGACTCTAGATATTTAACATTATTTTGCAGCTGTAAAATACTACCTAAAGAGATGATATAAAAACATCAACATTCAATAGTATATGTATTATTTAACATGCAATGCTGCAACAAAATTTGTTCCTATACATCTAAATTTTTCTATAAAACATATTTGTACTTTCAATTTCATTGTTTATACTAAATTTATAAAATAAGAATAGATAGCATGTTAGATCAGTTTATAAAGCATATTTTACTTAAAATAAAATAAAAATAAATTTAATTGAATATAATGCAGTACTAAGGAGATACATATATCAAAGCATAAATTTTACTGTCTGAAGTTTGTCAATACGAAGATATTGGAAAAAAAGTTACTATAAACAATACATTCTTTACATTTAATCAATTATATAAAAAGATAAATATATAAATACATGCAACATTAGTAACATTATCAACACACACATTAACTTTAAAAAACAAACTTCTTAACAAGATAGTACATGTAAATACCACTTACCATAATTTATATATATTTTTCCCAAGACGATAGTCAATGATATTATGAACAGTAAAAAACTGAAACTTCGTTCATTTATTTGTAACTTTTCCCATAACCTTACTGGTACAGTGTAATTTTTGTCTGTCATTAAATCATTAGTTCTACATAAATGTGAATTTAATTTCTTCTCTCCCATTTTGATTTTCAATTGCAAAATACATATGCGTTTGCTTCGACAGTCAAGAAATTATGAATGACAAATGATACGAATCGCCAAAAATAACAGTGAATAAATAATGACAGTCATAATAATAACACAAATAGCATTCGATTCGTATACACGTGCACACACGTAAAAATTTTACGCGCATGCGTTTTGAAAACAATTATTCAGAGCTGTATTACGCAGTTTTTATACAAATTCAAAATATCGAATCATAGATACCACATTAATTTTTTACAAATTTTACGAAACGAACATAATGAACAATAAATAAAGTTGATAAAAATAAGAACAGTATGAACAATATGAACATAATGAACAATAAATAAAGTGGATAAAAAATAAGAACAGTATTCAAGAAATTTCAAATGTTATAATAATTTATTTATAATTTAACAATAGCATTAATAATAATATATATGGAGTTGTAAAATACATTTGTAAAATATTTAATATATTGTATATACTATATTATATAATATTGTATAATATTGTATAATGTAGATTATAGATGATAATGCACATTGCAGCAACGCTCCTGGAATTATAAGATTATGGAGGGGTGAAACATAGGTTGGAAATTTTAGTTAACCGCATTCGTTATTCGCTTGTCGGCGAAGACGTTTGTATTCGAAGGAGCTGGACTCCAACAAGAAACAAATTGTGATTTACACGTATATGGAACTATAAATCAGGCGTGTATATTTATTATCCAAAAAATGGCAACACAAGAAGAAATTGGTATTGGAGATTTGGTTCTTTTGGATGAAATTACATTGGAAAAAATTGTGGACAATTTACGAGTTAGGTAAGATCATATTTTGACTAGCGATGAATAGGGCGGTAAATATAGGAAATGCGCGGGAAACAAAGGGAAACAAGTGATTTTTTTCTTTAAGGAGAATGACAGGTGTCTTGTTTATATTCCGATAGTATTAGTACTTCGTAGATCATCCACCAAGAGGGCGTGGCTAACCATATATTAGCAGGTGGTTGCAATTTCGGCTTCGTTATTCGGATTTGAACTTGACCTACAAAGTTTAACGATATAACAAAATGTATCGAAATTTTACATTAAATTCATTGTCAAGTGTAATTTCTGAATATGATTTGAATTTCAATAGCCATAAATTTATATATTTATATCTTTTTTTATATTTATGTAAAATCCGTAATTACAATATATATTTTCAATTTTTCAATTTTATACAGAGAACCACTAGTATATGTTTAAGACATTTAGTTTTATGATAAGTAACACTTAAGTCTTATCTTGTTCTGTATTCTATGAGTCACCGTCTTCAGTTCGTAACTTAAACTTTACGTGATACCTAACTGACTCTTGATAATAAAGATGTTTTCAGTTTTTGTATTGTATTTTATAAAAAAATATTGAATTGCATTTTATTTTATTTATAATACCTTCTAATAACAAAATTTATTTTTATCTATGTAATAAATTTTAAAGGGCAGTCAAAGAAATGAATGATTTTAAACGCGCTATTGATAACAATAATAAATACGCAATACTATGTAATATATGTAATATATTATACATATATATTGTTTTATATGTATTCGTTAAATTGAATACGTTTTTAAATAATATATAAAAAATAAATAGAAGTTTTAAAAATTAATATATGATTTTTATGTTATAGTAAATATATTCTATAGTAAATTAGTAATTTTTATGTTATAGTAAATATATTATATAGTAAATATAATATATTTATATAGTATAATATAGTATTATATATTTATATAGTATAATATAGTAAATATATTATAGTAAATATATTATATAGTAAATGTATAGTAAATAGTAAATATTTGAGTATAATGATAAAAAATAATTGATAAAGAGATAAAATTTATCTTTTGAAAATAAAAAGTAATTCCTCCAATAGCAAACATACATATTATATATATAAATTCTATTGAATTATATTCATTTATTGTATTACATTTAATTTTGTTTTAGATACAATGGCGGTAAAATTTATACATACATTGGAGAAGTATGTGTTAGTATAAATCCATACAGAAATATAAACATATATAACAATGATTATATTAATAAATATAAAGGTAAAAAGTATTAGTCATATTTATATTTATTCATAATATATGTTAGCTAAACAAAATAATACAAATCAGATAATCAATGTAATACAATCAGATAATATATAAGAAAAAATTTTTTGAAATTTTATTTTAGGTAGAGAATTATTTGAGAATCCACCACATATTTTTGCAATTGCTGATGCGGTACATAGAGAAATGAAACAACAACGTCGTGATACTTGTATAGTAATCAGTGGAGAATCTGGTTCTGGTAAAACAGAAGCAAGTAAAATTATTATGAAATATATTGCTGCAGTTACAAATTTAAGTGGTCAACAAGAAATAGAAAGGTATATGAGTTATCTAAAATTAATATTTTTAAAACTAATAGTTAAATTTTCCAAGGTTATGTGTCTTTAGAATTCTATATCTTTAGTATCTAAAATTATTTTGTCTGTCAGAGTAAAAAATATTCTTATACAATCTAATTCAATATTGGAAGCTTTTGGAAATGCAAAAACAAATAGAAATGATAATTCATCTCGATTTGGAAAATACATGGATATAGATTTTAATTTCAAAGGAGATCCAATTGGTGGCCATGTTACTAATTATTTATTGGAAAAGTCAAGAGTTGTATATCAGCAAAATGGTGAACGGAATTTTCATTGTTTTTACCAGGTATTAGCAATAATTTCATTGTGTATTATTTTTCTTCACTACATATAAAATATTATATTTTCAAAACAGTTTATTTAAAATTTGCAGTTATTAAATGGTTGCAGTGAAGCAGAAATAAATAAATTACGTTTAGTACGGGATCCAGCAGCATACTATTATGTTTCTGCTGGAAATTTTAACAAAACCAGTTCAACTGACAAAAGTGACTATAAAACAGTTACTTCTGCTATGTCTACTCTTGGATTTACTCAAAATGAAATACAAACAATCTGGAATGTCATTGCTGGCATATTACACTTGGTTTGTTGTAATTAAAACAATGAATAAAAAAAAATCGCAGTTTCATTTTTAATATGAGATTTGATTTATAGGGCAATATTACTTTCAAACTTATTGAGGATAGACTTTTCATTGAAAATAGAACTGCTTTAAATGATACAGCAAATTTATTTTCTATCAGTGCACATGAATTAAGTACAGCTCTTACACAAAGAGTTATTGCAGCAGGTGGCGAAGTTATGCAGAAAGCCCATACTTCAACAGAAGCAGAATATGGTAGAGATGCCTTAGCTAAAGTAATTTTTTTTCATAGTTCGTTTTTTGTATTTAAAAAGGAAATAAATTTTTATTAAATAATAAAAAATAAATTATGTTTCAGGCTATATATGAAAGATTGTTTACTGAAATTGTATCTCGCGTTAATAGTGCAATTAATGTAAATGATACAGAAATCTATAAGAGATACAGAACAGTAATTGGAGTGCTTGATATATATGGTTTTGAAATTTTTGATGTAAATAGTTTTGAACAATTTTGTATTAATTACTGTAATGAAAAATTGCAACAATTGTTCATTGGTAAGAAAGTTTTATATAAAATTGAAAAAATATAGTTATTAAAAAAAAGTTAAAATTAAAATTAATATTTGATGTTTCAGAATTGGTATTAAAACTAGAACAAGAGGAATATAAAAGGGAAGGTATTGCATGGCAAAATATTGATTATTTCAATAATCAAATAATTTGTGACTTAGTAGAACAACCTCATAAAGGAATGATAGCAATTATGGATGAAGCTTGTCTTAATGTTGGCAAAGTTACAGATGAGGTCAGTTTCTGTAATTTACTATAGTAAAATTCATTATTTATTGCATATTATGCTTATAAAAATTATAGTTCAATATATTAAATTTTTTTTAGATGCTTTTAGAAGCTATGGATCAAAAATTACTTGATCATAAACATTACACTTCTCGACAATTAAAGCCAATGGATAAAGAACTTCAACATAAAATTCAGTTTAAGATTAAACATTATGCTGGGGATGTAATATATAATATTAATGGCTTTTTAGATAAAAATAAAGATACGTTATTTCAGGATTTTAAACGTTTACTTTATAAAAGTAGTAATCCAATAGTTAGCAAAATGTGGCCTGAAGGTGCTCAAAATATTTTGAAAGTATGTAAATATATTTACTACATATTTGTCTATTAAATTATTTTTATCGTTATACTATTTTATTTCAGACAACGAAAAGACCTTTAACAGCTGGAACTCTTTTCCGTAATTCAATGATAGCACTTGTTAAGAACTTAACAAGCAAAGAACCATTCTACGTGAGGTGTATAAAACCTAATGAAGTTAAATCACCAGTTGTATTTGATGAAGAAAGAGTAAATCATCAAGTACGATATTTAGGTCTTCTCGAAAATGTATTAGTTAGAAGAGCGGGTTTTGTGTATCGTCAACGATATGATACATTTTTAAAACGGTATTTATGTTTGTATTTTATATTTCCTATACGAAAAAGTAATATGATTATTACATGACAAAATTTTTAGATTATATTATTAACGAAATTGTTTATGTCAGGTATAAAATGATATCTCAATATACTTGGCCAAATTTTAGAGGTGGAAATGACAAAGATGGTGTACGTACATTAATGGATGAAAAAGGTTTTAGCAATGATGTAAAATATGGACACACTAAAATATTTATTCGTTCACCTCAAACACTTTTTGCGTTAGAAAAGGTTTGTTAATTAATTTGTATTATTTAATTTTGTCTATTTTTTTAATATTGGAACAAATTCTTCAAAATATTTATTTCTAGGCACGTAGCAATTTGATTCCAGGTATTGTAATATTATTACAAAAACAATGGAGAGGATATTTATGTCGTCAAAAATATAAAAAAATGAAAGCTGCCCTTATTATTATGAAATACTATCAAAAATATAAAATGTATACTTATATTAAAGAATTAGAAAAAACGTTTCGAAATGCAAAAACAATGCGAGATTATGGTAGACATTTACCTTGGCCTTGTGAAAATTTTGCTGTAAAACATATAGTATCTACTTTAAAAATAATGTACGAAAGGTGGTGGGCATGGATGATTCTTAGACTTATTCCTAGAGAGGATTGGCCTCAACTACGATTAAAAGTATGTATATCATATGATTTTTATATCCAATTTTTGATATTGACATAATTTTAGATGGCCGCAGGAATAGTTTTGCGTTCAAAGCGACTTTATTGGGGACAAGATAGACGCTGGGAAGGAAATTATCTTTCCAAACCAGATGAAAATCCTCATAGTGATATTTTTAACTCTTCGATAAATAATCTTCGCAATACTGATCATTTCAAAGCAGTTTTATTTAGTGCATTTATTAGAAAAACCAACAGGTTCGTATGAAGAGTTACATTACATGCTAAATTTTACGAAATCTATTTTAAATGAATTATAATTATAGATTTAATAAATCAAAAGATCGTGTATTAGTCGTTACTGAACATGCAATATATAAACTTGAAAGTTTTAAATTCAAAAATATGAAAAAAGGTATGCCAATAACAGAAATAACAGGTTTAAGTGTATCACCTGGAAAGGACCAGCTTATAACGATTCATTCAAATCGAGGAAATGATTTTATTATGTCAATCACTGCAAAAGATGACAGAGTTGGAGAACTTGTTGGAATTTTAAGTAATAAATACAATCAGTGAGTACATTTCCTTCCTTTTTTTTTTAATTTTATTTACAAAGTTTTACTGGTTAAATATATATTAAAATATATTTTATACTAGATTACGTTCCGCTGATTTACAAGTTACAGTGGATGTAAAATTTAAATGTATGCTAGGAAATAAGAGTAAAGTATTACGAGTAGAAGTACAACCTGAAGTTCAAGAACCAACATTCAAGAAAGATGGTGAAATTATCATATATGCCATTCCGCCGTCAATCGGCATAATTGATGGAAGTGCTAATACAAGGTTACAATTTAGGAACGCCAATTAAAACAGTACTTCAACTGCCTTTTTAATATTTATCATAAATATTAAAATTAAATTATTCTATATACTAATGTTTTATAAAAATATTTTTGTGGAAATATTTTTTTATTCTACTAATGTACAAATAATATTAAAAAACATTAATAGATTCGTAAGTCAAAAACAAACGACAATACAGTAATTTAATAACAAAGCATTTTTAATGCAAATATGCGAGCTATAAATACTGTATCAAGTAATGGAAAAAAAAATTCTGATTGAGAATTTATCACAGCGTATAACAAAACTATTTTGTGTAAATACGTACAAAACAATCAAAAGTAATGCATTCCATTTATAAGAATTAAATGCATTACGTGTGAATAAGTTGTAAATTTTTAAATTGGAATGATACGTAGATCTTAAGAGAATTAACACAGTATTGCTTTAAAAAAAGTATTATTCTTTGATACAGTTTAAAATATCTATCAATGTGGCATTTTACTTAAAGTATTTTTAAAAATATATTTTTACACCGTCGTTGAATATTTATATATTATGTGAAAATTTAATAAGATTTATAAAATACAATTTATATTCATGTTAAAAATGATATATAGATTAATCAAATTTTACACTGAGCATAAATAATAGATAGCATAATAAAAAGTTTAATGTCAATGAAAAATTTGACATATAATTATTATATTAAAATTCTTCTAATGTTAATGTTATGTTTTAACAATGCTATATGAATTGGGATAGAAAATGTAAAATTATATAGCATGTCATAAAATGGTGCCATTAAAAAAAATTAACGTTTTATATATTTTTATTTATATAAAATTATATCAGCAACTATAAGCACAAACAATAAATCATTTATATGCTTTCAAATTTTTTCCAAATTGAAAGATACAAATTTCTTACTTATTATATTTTTTATTGTTGAAGTGTAATAGAATACATTTTTTATACAAAATAATTGTATAATCTAATCAATACGATGATATAGATATACATATCCTAATTCTTTTGGTGGATTTTCAGATAATGCAACCTGTTAAATTCAAATAAATTCAAATAAATGTTTCTACCATATTATAATTACTATATTTATTTTATACTTGTAATACGTACTTTATCGTCATTGTAGATCACCCATCGTTTATCTTTCAGAAGATGGCACACATAATGTCCTACCATTGTCGACGTACCCATATGTGATATAAATCCTACTAATTTATATTCTGAAATATGAAAATATAATATTGATATGAATAATTTGTTATACTATTAAAATATTGAAAAAGAACGTACGATCGGTTCCGTCTCTAAATATTTCTTTGGAATGTCTTGGTTCATCTTCAACCTCTAAAGCATCCAATTCATTTTGATGACTAAAAATCCAATCTGCTGCACGTTCTAAATTATTATCAGTCGCTTTAAGCGCTTTTGTTGCTTGTTCTCTCGTAAAACTCATTCCCATTAACATAGCTACAGCATCTTCATTTGCCATAAATTTATCTTTTTCTAAGATTGAACAAACGAAAACAAATATGAATGTCATTAAATTTATTAATAGAAAAATTTGAAGAAAATAATTTGTTACCTGGTTTAACATCAATTCCAGGTGGTACAAACGGATCTGCAAAATCTGAATCCGCAATATGTTCCATTAGCCAGTTTGTAGCTACCTCTAAGCCACGATTTTCTGTAAAATATAGTGCTCTTTCACAAGCTTCTGGTGGAAATCCCATATCTGTCAGCTGATTCAATATCACGGAATCATAAACAAGTGGCGGAGGTGCAGCACCAACTGTTTCCGGCAATAATTCTTCTGTAGGTTGTAAACCAAAACCTCGAAGAAAAGTTAAATTTAATGTCTCTGGCATTTCAACTGCTACATCTAACTTGACTGGTGTCCAATCTTCTTTCATCATAAATTTTTTTAAATGGATTAATAGATAATCCGGAAAAGTAGAAAGTCTAGTAGTTCTATAAAAAAATACACTTATTAATTATGTAAAGTAAACATTATGTAAATCAAAACGTACTTTTGCGCTGTTGTCTTCTCATTTAAGGCTGAACTATAAAATTGTTCTACTGTTTCCGGCCGTATAAATGTTTGCAAACAGGATGATAGTTTTATGCGTGGTCTGACGAGAGCATTTGAATCCAGTTTTTGTCCTTTAGCTTCAGTTTCGTTTTTTAATGCTTCATAAACTGCGACTTCATCCTATATATAATATACATTATGTAAACATGAATTTTTCAATTAAGATTTATAAGTTGTATAAATTATTTCTTTGTTTCTTACCTTATTTACAGCAGTTTCTACAGGTATTGGAAGTGGCAATAAGTATTCAGTACGATAAGTGTACTTTACTTTGTTAGACCGACTACATTGATACCTTTCTTCAACTTGGAATTTAAAACAATCAGTAGGATTTATTTGACGACGACTGTGACGCTGTGCGATCAATTTCCTGATATTAGTTATTGTAACTTCGTATGAAAAATGAAGTAGTATTTTTATATATCAATTAAAAACATAAAATATAACAAAATTACATTTATGATATTTATGATGTGAAGAAAGAATTCTTGCGCATCTTGCTGTCGATTTGAAGAAAATCCTGGATGTCCACGACCAACTAACGTTTTAAACATTCGTGGCGGAATACCTTGACGTGATTCATGTTCGTGATTTGTATTTGGTGGGACAGAGTATTTACCAGAAAGTAAACCAATTCCAAGTTTAGCCCTATAATGTTAATTTTTTGTATCTAAAATCATTAACTGAATTTGCATGCCATACATTTATCTTTTTAACTTACATTTGAACATTAAAATCATTCGCTGGATCAATGTAATTCTGCTGAAATATCTGTGGTGCACCATCTACAAATCTGAAATTCACTTCCTATTATTAAACACTGATCCTATTATAAAAAAAACATAATATAAAACACTAAATACATTAATTTAATATAAAACATTAAGTATATTAATTCAGTAATTATACCAATTATATATCAAAATTTTATAAAATTTTTAATATATTAAGTTTGCTTATTTGTTTACAAACCTTTTAATGAAATCTGGAATCACAAATAGCATTTGCATCACACTGTTTAAGTAACAAGAATTTCCTAAATTAGCAAGTCCTGTATACCCAGGACCATACAAAGGTGTTAATTTACTTGCTGCTTCTTGAAGTGCAACCCATTCACCAAATCTTTGATTTAGATCTAATTCGAGTTCTATCATAGATTTATCAGTTTTCTCCATTTGGGCAATATTAATACCCCAATGAGCTAAATGTTCTACTAACTTTGGATCTTCTACCATATCATCTTCATCATATGAAAATACATCTGCTTTTCCTTCTTTAGTTGTAGTTCCTAATTTTACTGCTAACGAGTAACCGGTAGCTCTATAATGTTCAACTGCATGATCATTTCCACCTGTCCCATCATAAAATTTACGTCCACAAAGAATGCTACCATCAGTTAAATTAAGCCAGAGATTTTGAGTTAAATCACATTTTTCACACTTCCATCCACTAGGTGGTATCTTTTTTCCATTATCTAATTGTTTAAGACTTGCTGCATGTCTAGAAATTTAATAATTACTTAAAATAACAATGAATATTTTACATTAATACACGCTTAATGTTTTATTCTTACTTTGAAACTGCTTTAACTTCTCCATCCCAGGTTCCAGCCAATGCCTCTACTTCTGCTATTTTTGTTGCAGATTCTGCTTCCAATATACATTTAATTGCAACTTCAACCTACGTAAATTTTCCATGTAAATTATATTTGCTTTTAATTTTCATTTTATTTTATATAACACTTACTTCTTGTGGTAAATTGTCTGTTGGATAAGGTATTGTGGTAAAATTTGGTAGAATAATAATTTCATAGGATTCATGGTAAGTATATTTTTGTTGATCAGGTGTAAATCCATCTGCTGTTCCTATTGCTAATCTAGTAATTTTCTTTTCAGGGCCATCTTGGTATTTAGTAGGAATCTGTAAATATTAATATTTTGCATTATATACAAACAATTCATATTTTTTACTATAATATTCTTAAATATTTCTCTCCAGATATGCTAAAATACTCACTTCTTTTCTTCTTCTTTTAATATGCAGGAACACAGGATTTTCTGTTAACTGATAATAATGCTGTATATAATCCTGACCTAATCCCAAAAACGTGGTAAGATTAATGTACAAGCCAGAAGAAGTATCCTAAAAGAAAAAAACGATGAAAATGATTATCGTTATATTATTGTATTATCGTCTATAATTGTAAAATCGTTGTGACATCTTACTGGAGTATCAAAGGAATAAACACACTCATCCTTATATATTTTATCATTTTTCTGCGGTATTCTAATCTTGTGTAAATATTTCAGCAATTCCTCCATCGTAAACAAAATCACTATGAAAAAAAAGGAAATATCCGAACAAATTCAAAATTAACTGATTTATAGATCACCGGTTTGTCGTATTGATGATATGCGTGATTTGAGAAATGAGACGAAGGGATCTGAATACATTCGACTCTTCTCTCGTTTCTCTTTAAAATCCAGTGGTGCTCAATGACGATTACACGGTTTTTGTATTTTCAATTTAATACAGTATCTTTAAGCGAGTCATGTCACTTCAAAGAACGTTATGAAAAAGAAAAGTATGTTGAGGACTTATATATTTATAATCATATAAAGCTGTACTTTATATGATTTTTAATTAAGTAATCTATTTATCTCCTTTAATTTTTAAATTTTTATGGGCTTGAACTGAACACTGCAGAGATACGCGAAGTAGAACAAGCCCTGTTGTTTGGATGAAGTAGTTGTTTGAGCAGACGGTACATAGATGTATATACGTATGTGATGATTCATACTGTCATTAACCTAAAATAAAGTTTATATTTTATTTATTGGAAAATGATTACGTAAATTTTGTGGATAAAAAGTATTCATTTAAATTATGCGTATCATTTATTCTATATCTTTAATATAAGTTGCATTTACTTTTGAAATTATGGAAAAAGAAAGGTAATTCAATTTTTTTTGCTAGTCGTATATATGTATTTCTATAAATATAATCAATTTCTAATTAATGTTTTTCAATGTTTATTAACTTAAAATTACATGCGGTAATTCGTTTAATAATTATTTTTTTTAAATTATGTAATATATTGAAATTAATGCATCAGGTTTACAATGCTCCTTTTGGATCCTGGAGAAATATTCTTTGAGGATTATAGTGTTCAAATGAAAGTAGTTGATAATTGTACTTCAGAAGAACAAAAATGGAAAGATGGAAGATTAAAATTATGTTCAAAATCCTTAGTATTTGTAAACAAAGATATTAATCAACCTCTAATTAAAATTCAACTTAAGGAAACTATAGCTATTGATCAGTATCAATCCAACAATGATATAGCAAAGTTTGTATTTTGAACTTTTCTTATACAATTACAATAATTTCTTTTATATTAATAAATTCTTTTATATTAACAAATATTCTATTTATAAGATGTGGCAATGGTCAAATATTATTGGTCAAATGCAAACAATATGTGAAGATGTTAGAAAAAAATATACTTGCACCATATAAATTTATACATCAGAATGCTACTTTTCACTTCTATTTTAATTATGCAAAAATAGATGATTGTCTTCCACAAATTCTCCAGTTATTTAGAGCAGCTACTTTGCCAACAGCTGAACAAAATGCCATGGTATGTTTTAAGGTTATTATGTGTATTATTATGTTAAAATCTTTGAGATCAATATTACTAAATTATTATTATTATTATTATTATTATGTAGATTATGGCTATTGTGCACTCTAGACAATCCAGAGTATCATTTGATACATCATGGTTGGAAGATTTATATGAACAGGTAGTACTAGAAACTCAAGCAAATAAAGTATTGCCTCTTGTTATAAATCCAGGAAGAATACTTTTAACGACTTCAAGAATTTATTTTCAACCTTATAATAATTTAGATCAAGTATGTATTTTACAATGATAATGATAAAGTCATTAAAGTAAATTATTGAAAAAATAATTGGCTATACTATTGTATTTGGAAAGCAAAATTTTTGATCCAAATTTGTTATTTTAGGGATATTTTGAATCACTGAAAATCAAGGTCATTTTTCACGAAAATTTGAAAATAGTTTTCAAGATATTCGTAAAAAATTTATCGATACCATTACAGTGAATTTCGCTCACATATACGTATCTATGATACAGCCACGAGGATAGTGAACGACGATTATTCGCCCGTGTGCAGCTGTGAATCTCTCATATAACTAAAAATAAAAGAAAAAAGGTTTAAATTTCATTTTAGCTAGTCGCTGTAATACAGCTGGTAATCAATACTGATATATACACTGCCACATTATAAGCATATATTGACAAAATTCATTGTATTTGAGTACTGACAATTTTTTTATGAATATTTCGAAAATTGCTCACTTCTGTGAAAAATGACCTTGATTTTCACCCTCAGCGATCCAAAATATAACCGAAATGAGAAAAATTTTGCTTCCCAGATACTGTAGTACATCAAAATAATTGTATGATTTTAGCATCCAGTTTTAAAAATACAACTGAAAGATATTATTAACATTAATAAACGACGATTTCTTTTAAGCCAAATTGTAAGTATAGTTTCTTTACTATTATCAATATATGATTACAATTTAATATATATAATTGTTTTAAAAATAGGGACTTGAAATTAAATGGATACGACAACCTGAAAATAAGCTTGAACATTTATTTATATCGTTAAAAAGTCAAAATGATAGGGATGAATTATACACAAATTTATTAAATCAACCTACAATTTCGTTAGAAAAAGTACCTCAAGATCAAATGACTATGAGGTGGCAAAATGGTTCTTTATCAAATTATGATTATCTTTTGTATATTAATAGGTAACGTTTATAATAAATAATTGTAACTAAGTATAAATAAATAATTGAAATATTAAACTATATACTATAGTTTAAGTTAAATATTTTTTAGTTTGGCAGATAGAACTTTCCATGATTTAACTCAATATCCAGTTATGCCTTGGATATTACAAGATTACACATCTACTGCAATAGATTTAAATGATACTAATATTTATAGAGATCTCTCAAAACCTATTGGAGCTCTTGAACTAAATCGGTTAGAAAGATTAAAGGTGTATTTCTTTCCTGATACTCAAAGTGTATATGTCAGGAATAAGATAATAGTAAAATTATTATATTTCAGGAACGGTATTTGGAAATGTCTGAACCAAAATTTTTATATGGATCTCATTATAGCGCACCAGGATTTGTATTATTTTATTTAGTACGGAAGTATCCTCAATATATGCTTTGTTTACAAAATGGAAGATTTGATCATCCAGATAGAATGTTTAATAGGTATGTATATTTTATAAAAATATATACTGCTGTGATTCTTTAAGAGTGTTAACATTACAATCTCTTGACGTCTGGTAGTAGTAAAATATCGATCTAGTAATGATAATAAGAGTATGTGAATAAAATTTTTAATTGCACAGACAAGGCAAAATTTTATGGTAATTGCTTATATTGTAAAAGTACATAATTACTCTGTCGACTCTGCAGAATCGATTTTTTGTTTCACTCTTACCAACAAAAACACCTAACAGTGTAGCTGACGTATGGAAAAATGTTTTGGTGAACATGTCTGACTTTAAAGAACTGATCCCGGAATTTTATGACACAAGCAATGGTGGTGATTTTTTAGTAAATAGTTATGGTATTGATTTTGGTTATCGACATGATGGGACGAAAATAGGAGATGTACAGTTACCACCATGGGCAAATGGTATGTGGTTTATAATTTACAAGAGATAATTTTTAAAAATTTAATATTAATTAGTTAACAAATTCTAGGATCAGCTCATTTTGTACAAATATTAAGAAATGCCTTAGAGAGTGATTATGCTTCTCAAAATCTTCATCATTGGATTGATTTAATTTTTGGGTATAAACAAAGAGGAATCGAAGCAGAGAAAGCTAATAATGGTAAGTTATTTAATTATAAAAATTCTAATAAATAATTATTTTATCATATATATTGTATTTCAGTATTTTTCCATTTATGTTATGAAGGAGCAGTAGATTTAGATACTATTAGAGATATTAATGATAGACATGGTTTGGAGATACAAATCATGGAATTTGGTCAAATACCAAAACAAATTTTTACTCTACCACACCCAAAGCGTTCTGTATTTATGCTAAATAAATTGCATACTAAAACTATTTCAGTATCAATTGAGAATGAAATAGGTATATGACATATTATTTCAGTTTGTAAAATGCATTATGAATACGTGTGATAAAAAATAATTTCTTTCAGAAGACAAAGAAAATCCTACAGGGAAAACTTTTGAATTACATGAATTAATAATGTTCCAATCTCATAAAGAAAGTGTGAGCAGCATTATCATAACAAGTAAAGAAGAAATTAATGAAGTAATATCAGTTGGACAAGATGGAATGCTTAAATTATATAGCATAAAAAATAAAAAATTAACGCGTAATGTATCTTTATCATCGTTACCACTTTCTTCTTGTGTATCATATTATACATCTTCTCATCGCAATATATTAGTTGCCGGTTCTTGGGATAATACACTGTAAGCATATTAAATAAATATTTCACGCGTACATTTCATACTTCTATTAATTAAATTACTTTTTATAGAATATTTTATGACATTGAGTTTGGCAGAGTAATAGATGTACTACAAGGACATGAAGATGCTGTTTCCTGTTTAGTATTAAGTGCTACTCGTCGGATTATTATTTCTGGTTCATGGGATTGTACAGCAAAAGTATGGCAAAGTTATACTTCTGGGACAAAAATTAAACCAGCTGAGTGCCTTATTGCACAATTAGATCATGATGCTAAAGTAACTTGCATCAACATATCAGGGTAAGATTTCATATATTTTGTAAATAAAATTAAGTATTTTACTCAAAAAATCTTTATTAGTGGAATATTTGTAGAGATGAAACGCTATTGGTATCTGGTACAGAAGATGGAGAAATTTTTTTATGGAATATGGACACGTATAATTTACAATTTACTGCAAAAGGTACATTTCAACTGTTTTTTCAATTTCAAAAGTTATATTCATTTTGTTTTCTATAGCTCATAATTGTAAAATAAATGCAATGGTATTTGATCAAGAAGGAAAAAGCATAATATCATGTGCAGAGGATAAAATACTAAATATAATTGATGTTTATACAAGTACTCAGATTTATCGTACAACTATAGAATATGAACCTTTAACACTAACATGGTTCAAAAGTTTTTTATTAATAGGCGATAATAATGGTAATATTAATGTTTGGAACCGCCAAGGTGCAGTTTTTATCACACAAATACATTGTCATGATGGTACAGTATTCTCTATATTAATTTCTTATACTTACATTAAAAAATTAAATATTTACATATTTAATTTATATGTGATTTTATTAATAATTAAGACCATTATTTTTTAGGTCCAATCAATACATTATCAGTATCAATAGAAAATAATATAGTTTTAACTGGTGGAAGAGATAGGAAAATAATCGTATGGGATTGTAAAAATGTATAAGTCATGTTGTAATATCTATAATGACTGAAAGATTTTGTAGTTATAAATTGCATTATCAATTTATAGTAAAACTTTTCATTTTAGAAAATATAATATAGCAGGAAAGTTATATTTAACATATATATATTGTATTCATTTAAAATTGTTACAATATTCATTAATAGTCTATCATCTGTTGTACATTTATAATATTTTAGTATAGTTTATGTCATATCGTTATCCATTCCAACAGATTATAAAAGGTCTTAAATACAAACATTATGAATACATTTAAAATACTGTTTCCTTAAGATATGCTTTTTGCAAACTTGAGTCTATTTTTATGCATGAATTTATATATAATGATATGTATAGTTTTTACAATTTCTTTGGATATATTTTATAAATTCTAACACTCAGTCTTACTTTTTTAAAGATGAAAACATAAATTTAAATACGAGGAACATAAAATTAATACAATTTATAATAATTATATTTAAATCTAGAAAATTAAAAAGTTGCATTTAATCTATAAAATGTGAATATAATGTGCGTTTTAAATTATAGATCAAATATTGAATATTCATGATTTTTTAACTAGGTATTTCATATTCTTTGCTATGAATACTTTCATTAATGATTGTAATTTCAATATTACGGAAAATAAATTCTATTTATTTTTGATATACTATCTGTATAGTTTTTTTTTTATGTATGTTGCATAAAAATAAATTATACATTATAAATATCAATTACAGCTTATCATTACTACCATTATTTTTTCATATTTTTATACACACATCGTTTTCTTCCATTTACTATTTACTTGAACGATCCGATACATTATTTAAAGATAAATGTGAATTATGCAGTTGCTTCAATTGTTCATATGTTATAAAAAATATGATATTCCATGGTCCCATTCTAAACCAAGTAGGTACGAAACCCTTATATAAAGCTAAAAATCCTTCGTTTTTGAAAGTCTATAAGAAAATAAAATTTGCGTGATACTATTGAGAAGAATAAAAAATACATATTTAATATTTCAAATCATATACCTGTACAAGGCAATCTATGCTACCACTATAAATATGAGGTGGTAATATGCCACCTGTGGTACGTATCCTCCTTTGATTCATTAAACGTGTCTGTAATGATTAAATATTTAAGTAAAATATACAGATTAAAACATTTTTCAGTTATACTTACACGAACAACATCTATAGGAGTAGAAGCAATTGCACTTCCCATACTAGCTATAAAACTGGACCTGGAAATTGTAATTATGTGTATATATATAACTACACATATATATTCAATATCAATTTGAAATCCCATTTCATTATACTATATTAAAGCAACCCTTATCCAGGCTCTATAAATTGAAAAATACAGCGTGATGTCTCTCAAAATTATAATTTATAAAGAAACACATATAATATACTTAAAAACAACATTTAATATAGAAAAAAATTAAGAAATATATAACAGAACAGAAAACAAAACTAAGCAGTATAATTTTGAGATTCTAAGTAAATTTGTATGAAACAGTAAATGAAACAATTCATTATGTAATTCAAAGTGATTAGTTATCTGGATAACAGTTTTAATATTTATACATAAACAAGAAATATTAAACATAACTTCCATTTTCTCTGTGGTCATCTTAATGTCCACGTACTGCATGTGCCCATGTGCACCACAGTGTGAAAGAACCTGGAAATAAAATTTTTCACTTTTAGAAAAATATTACTTCCTTTTTAACCATTATAGTATTAATATTGATGAGCACAAATTTTTTGACTTAGAATTATCCAACATTCTTAAAAAAAACATTTATATTATGCAGACATTTTTAAATTAAAATATGAAGATTTTTTGTTTATCAGTTACACATATCTATCATACCAGTTTGTATTATTAAAGAACATAGATGGAAAGATTTTTTAATGAGATGTAATAAATAATTTTAGTATTAAAAATAGTTATAAAATGTTATTGAAAAGATTGTAAAATAAAATTAACACATAATTTTTGTTTAGATATACTCACATGACATCACATACTGTAAAAGAGCATGAAATTTGTTTGCTTTAAAAATATCATTAAGTATTTGTTAGTATGATAGTAGTAAAATATATATATTTTACATCTAAATGAAAATAGCCCGGATAAGGGTTTATTTATTATTTAACATTGATATTAAAAAAAAAAGACTTATACACAGCTTAATTTTCAAATAAACTGTTTTTAGTACCATAATATACATCTATCACCAAAGAATAATATAGAATTAAATAAAATGTATGTAAATATAATTTACTTACACAAAATGATTATTAACACTATCTCCCAATAAAATCATAAATTTGTTTTTACTGTAATCATATATAGGTAACTCTACAGCTGCAATAATTGCTGCTCTTTGGGCAGTAGGTCCTACACCCTGCATATAAATTTTTTTATATAAAATCATATGTATTTATATTGTTAAAATGTATAATCAATTTACATACCCTCCATAAACCAGAAATACCTTCATGTTGATATACATCTTGAAAACAACCAAACAATGATAAATTTGAGTTACTTCCAGTTACTTGCATACGAACTTTAACTACATCAGTTGGATTAGCTATAGCACTTGAGATAGCTCCAGCTAATGCAGCACATACGACATTTATTACAACTAAATCATCTGTTTCCCATTTATCCATAGCAGCTTTTTTTAAAGAATAATAGGTACCAAATTTTATAGTTCCATAAGTGGCTTGTCGTAATATAGCTGAACTAATTCTATATAACAAAAAAACTATTATTAATAAAATAATATTATTCAAATAATTAGTAGCAAATTATGTATATATAAAAATCACACTTACCCAGAATATAATGCTTTAAAACCTTCTTGTCGTGATATTTGTAATAAAGCATCAATCATGCCAGAATATTTCAAATGTGCATATTTCTGATCTAATTTTTGTCCTTGAATTTGAAGACGTGTTTTTGTTGTGTCCAATGGAAAAGTACCTGGGCCAAAATATATTTATAGAAATGATGATACAGAAGTTTATTATTAAATGGTACTAGAATTATATATGGTATTAGAATATAACACCAGATACCTAATTCTGCAACAATTGAAGCTATACCCCCATAAATAAAAGGTTTCCAATCATTCCACTGGCTCTCTCCCATTACAACGTTTAGCTATAATTATAATTAATAGATATAAATTAATTTTAATATAAGTTTCATTGATAAATATCATAATCAAACTGTCGATTTTGAAGCTATTGAAATCAATGTACTTCAATCAGATTAACTAAATTATACTTTAAATGATCTTTTAATAGTACATTTATAGAAATACGAATAATCAAATACAACGCGTGTGTACTTCTTTGTATAACAGACATCAGATTTTTTACTTAATGTTTATAATTATCTTTTAACAAAATTATTATAACCTACAATCACGGACTGATATACTTTATGTGTGTATTATAAATTTTGCATAAAAATAACAATTAATAATATTAATAATTGACAATTAATAATAATAATAATGACTTGTATCAATGCTTTTATTCTAATTGACACTATTTCATCGACAAATATGTTAAGTTAAGCATTCTTTTTTGAAAGTGTTCAAAAAACTTGTAAATTAAAACTAACAGCTACAACCAATCATGTGAATGTAGTTTAAGAATGAACATAATACAAATCCTAAATATTCCTACATAAAGTTTCTGCATTGATAGAAGATAAAATAAATATATAAGGATGTCAAAAAAAATTGGAATGTTTCTTATATCTTGTAATTTACTACGCAGCTATAGGATTCATATTAAATTTAACCATTGGAATCTATTAATGGAAAGTTCAATTAAAAACATATTTTCATTAATTTGATTACTTTACAAAGCTCGAAACAATAAAACTCCAGTATTCAAATTCCAGTTATTCTATCTGAAATTTTTACTTGACCTAGGTTACATAAGCATAAGTTCAGTCAATAATTCAGGATTTACCTAAGACAATGTTGTATATCTAAAAGAAAAAAAAATTGTAACCAAAAGAAATAGAGAAAGGTCACCAAAAAATGAGCATAACACAGAGAGATATGTAGATGTCATAATTCCTGAATAATTATCCTTTAGACAAAAAAATTACTAACATAATAATATTAAAATTAATATATAATTGAAAAGAAATATTTGTTATTAAAGAATTCTGTGATGTATCTGAATCAATAAACAATTCTCTAAATAAATTATATATTTTTAAGAAATAATTTATATTCTATACGATACATTTCAAAGTTGATATCTTTAACTACGTTCGCGTACAATTTTGATTTTGACTACAATTTATAAAAAATTGTATACATATCAAAATAAATAAATTCTAACCTTGCGTGATGAATTTATAAATATTTATGTACATTTATCAGATTAAGTGAAATATAAAAAAAGAATCTAATGAAGAAAATGCAATTATCAACGTTTACAAATTAACCTTTTTAACTAGTTTTTTTTGCAAATGAAAATTTGGATTGTTTCTACTTAACCTTAATTAGTTTCATCATTTCACCGGTAGATAATTATAGTATTTCAGTGTTTATAAAATAATCAAATTATCCGTATCTTGGAGTATTTAATGCACATATTAAGTATAATAGAAATTTATTACATAGTCAATGATATTAGATTGTAAAGTATAAATAATTTCGATTTTATAGACATGTAGATAGCTAGTTAATTTTAATTTGCATAATTAAGAAGTAGATTAGACAATATTATTAATGTATTAACTTGTATTCATTAATTGTAAGCTTATGATATGATAATAAAAAAGATCAAATTAAGTTTTAATTTGAAAGAAAAAAGAAAAGAAATTAATTTGTGATTTTCTGTAATTGTATTCACAGTTTTCTTCTTATATTTCATTTAACTTATGAAACAAATAAATATTTTTTAAATATATAACAGAATTAAATGATAATTCTCAATTGAAATTGATTTCTTTTTATATTAACAAAATTTTATTTAATAAAATTTGTACATGTGTAATATAATTAAAATGTATCAAAAGTTTAATATAATTAAAAAAATATAATTTATCCTTCAAGTAAAAATCAGAAATATTAGTTTGATACATGCTTATTTACAATATATTATGTATTTCATCTTGTTTTTTTTCTTTTGTACAATCAAATGTACATATAAATACATATGTATCTATGACATAGATAAATCTTTTAATTAATAAAAGTTATAAAAAAAAATTTGTCGCAACATTCACAAATATGGAGCACTAGGATTATTTTTAATCAACTCGCACTGGAACTCTAATATGTGCTGTTGTTATGCTTTGATAGATATATACCTGTGTTAAAATTGCAATGTCAATTATAACTTGAAGAGTACCACAAACTTCAAATTGAATTGGAGCTTCTCTTATAACAAAATAACATGTTTTAAATGCATCACCTAATGTCCACATTGCAACCATAACAATACTGGAATTACAGAAAAGTTATCCTATAAATGTTATTTAGGTAACTGCATTGTTGTTATAATTTCATACCTCATTCCATTAGTTGATTTATTAAAAAAGTTACGAAAAAATTGTGGTATTCCAAGCATGGCCTCTGTTAATACTGCAAGTAATCCTATAGTTTCAACAAATATTGGTATATCCACTAGTAGATATGTTAGAACTCCTATTAATGTCGCAAACAACAGCATGAAGTCTACATAAGATTGAAAATCTGTCCACTTCCAAAAAAAATTTGCATCAAAATCTGTGTAAGTGTTATGAATTAAGGATACATTACTGTATATGTTAATAGTTTTTCCCCTACAATTAGATATACCTGAGAATACACGTTCTCTAGCTTTTATTACTTGATTTCTGCTTTGTACATTTATACATAGTTTAATCATTATAAACATAGTAACAATCATACATATACTTTGTAATAAAAGAGGAATTTCATAATGTTTTCCAAACCTGTGAAAAACGCACACTATATTGTATATTGATTGATATAAATAAAGTATGCAGATTTTTATATGATGCAAATATACGAACCAAAAAAAAATACGTAATGTATTAGCTATTAAAAGTGTAAAGCATACATAAAGAGAAAATCCTTCAGCGCTATTTCTTTTTTTAATTTCTTTATATTGTGGTACATATGGAATAATACCACCAAATATTATTGCTCCAGAAGCGACCCAATTTGCTATATCTTTAATGGTTAACTGTTCATAGACATTATACATTGTAATAGGTTTTTTAATCTGCATATTTCACTATTTACGATTCTTTGCACATGCTTAATTTTAGGTTATGGCTCCAATTTTTCTGGATATCATATTGGTAATGAATCATTAAAATCAAATAAACCTGCAACAGTAAAAAAAAAAGATAAATCATATAAATATATATTACTTAAAAGTATGTAAAGAATTTTATTTATCTCTAATTATGATTTCTATTTAGTATTTACTCTTAATAAAATTATACATATTGATATACCTAGTATACGTGTGTGTGTGTGTATGTGTGTTTACTTTTATTATTACAATTATGAATTTATTAACTTAAAAAATTGATATAAACTTCACTTACCGGTTGTAGGTAACACAATCGCGATACAAGCATAAATCAAATTATTCAATCACAGCCAAATTATACAGTCACAGTGAAGTATATATAAGTAGATGTGGTTAGAAATATACATGTGTATGTAGCATGAAGAGATGTGTGCAGAGATAAATTAATGCTACAAAATTCAAAATCGCACAAAAAAATGTCTTATTTATGATTGAATTAATCTGAATTTTTTTTTTTAATATATAAATTCAAAACTTTGTTACATTTTATATGAATATATTAAATTATTAAAAATATAATTATTTATGTAGAATATTAATATATCAGAATTATAAAAAGAAATCAGAAAAATTTTATTTATAGCCATAAAAAGATTCAAATTCTTATAATTAATCATATCTAGTACAAAATGAAGAAGAATGATATTGTTGCTTAGTAACT